TTTCAAGTTTACACTTGAGTCTAAGGTTTAGGGTTTGGGGCTTAGGGTTGGGGTTCCATGTGAAGATCCCACAGTTGGAACATTTGGGGGCACACATGGGGTCTGTGCTTTGGGGCTCGGCCCTTATTGAACCTACACCCGAAACACTGAAACTCAAAGTCTAACCCCAAACTGACATGCCGTCAAAACCCCGTGAAGGGCTGCCAGGCATTATGAGATCAACATCAGGTCAATCAGATGAGTAACTGAGTACGTGATGGATTGATTGATTGATTGAGTGAGTGGGTTGAGTTATGTGATCTGAGTGCAACATCAGTCGCCTCGGACGGGTTTGTTACAAGGTTCGGGCGATAGGGCTTTCAAGAGTCGTAGGCGCTCTAAGACCCTAAACCCTAAAATCCTAGAATCGGACACCCGAGACCTTAAAAGCAAAGGTGTTATCCAGAACATGACACAAACGACGAGGCTTGAACTCAACAGGCCGTAAGACTTGGTTTAAGGGTCAAGGCTGCAGTGACCAAGGCCCTAAACCCCCAAAGCAAAGCCCGGAACCTACAAAGCTTACACGATGCTTATAGTCCTTAAACTGGCACTAGCCTCAACCCTCAACTCCAAACTCCCAGGACTTGAGGGGCTGACTTTAACACATTGGGCCGGGTTTAGAAGGTGGGCTCTTAAGCAAAGGCCAACCAAGATTTTGGCAAGCTTATAGGGGGCTTAAGGCTTCAGAGGCTAGAGGCTGAGGGTCTTAGCGTTTAGACGGTTTAGAGTTTGCGTGCATAAAGGTTCGGAGGATTTACAGCAATCAAGTTCGAAGCTTAGGGATAAGGGGGGGAACTAAGGCTCAAAATGGCTGCCCAGCACAGCTCACCGACATTTTTGCTGGAAGCTGCATGCGAGGTCGGTGCGGTTTGAAGATCAAACAAATGCTCCGCCACATTGGTCTGTGTCTATGACCGAGTGGCAGATAGAGCCTTTCGGCTTTGTAGCTAGATATTCTAGCTTGCAAAAGGATCGTGGTTCGAGGTGCCAAAATGGCCTATGAGGGGCCGGTGCACATGACCAGAAGGAAAAAACGGCGCCCTGGCTCCTCAGTCTGACTCGTCCTTGCTCTTCTGCTTCTTGCTGATCTGCATTCGCTTGGCCTTCTTGCTCTTCCGGAGAGCTGACAAAGAGGCCAGCAAGGCCTTCTTGACATCCTCCTTCTTGCACCCGCCTTTCGACGTAGCTGTGAGGAGGCCCAAGGTTTTCTGCAGATCTGCAACCGTGTCCTCCAGCGACTTCTTCTCGCCCTTATTCACGGGCTTGCCCTTCAAGTCGACCATCACGGACTCAAAGAAAGTGAGATCTTTCTGGATCTCACCCTTCATGAAAACGAGCTTCTTCTCGAAATCCGTCTTGCCATCCTTGCTGCCAATCTCCGAAGCTTTCTCCCACCGTTCCTCCCTGGAAGTCTTAGAAGACGAGGCCTTGCCGCTCTTGCTTTGGCTCCTCTTCCTCTTCGTCTTCTTGTCCTTGGGTGGCAAAGACAAGGTGGAAGCGTTGGAATCTTCCTCAGACTCATCCTGAGAACTGCTGTCGCCAGCCTGCTGCTTGTCGATGATGAGGGTCTTCAGGTCGGGGTCCAGGTCCATGTTCTCCACGTCAACTCCTGTCAGGTCAAAGTCAGCGGCCTTCAGACCCTCCACGTCAAGGCCGTCCAGGGCCCTGAGGTCCTTGGTCTTGACCCGACCTCCTTTCGTGTCGATCTTGGTCTCCTTCGTCTTTGAAATGACGTGATCGTACATCTCAGAGATGTCGGCAAATTCGAGGAATCTTTTGTCCGTCGGGGATTTCCGGAAGCGGATCGTGCCCGATTTGACACGATCCAAAGCCTCCTTTTTCCCGTACTTGTTCTTGACCTGCTTCCATGTGGACCACTGCAAGCGAACCTTCGATTCATGCACGGCTTTCAGCGAGAGAGTGGCGGAGCGATAGTGCTTGGCACATGCCCCCCCGTCTGCGAGCCAGCCTCTCAGCAAGCTGTGTTTTCTGACCTGGGAGCCAGGTCCACTTGTCTCCTTTTTGTAATCCTCCTCGTTGTAGGTGGATTTGCGTGAGATTTCGAACTTTTTCCAAACCAGCTGCTGCTCGCTAGCAGGCAGAAGCTTGAAAGCTGCTGCTAGCTGCTCGCCACTGAAACCTTTCGCACCAAGCAAGTCCCGATGAGTCTGCACATTCTGCAACGTCATGGGCAAGGGCTTGACGTTGACCTCGGGGTCAGTCTCCCTCGCCTCTTCTTCTCCACCCTCTTCGTCGTACTGCTCGCCCTCGTCGGCCTCGTCGTTGTCTTGCTTCGTACTCTTGCCCTTCTGCTCTTTCTCGGCTGCGGCCTTAAGCTTCTTGTCCTTCTTAGCCTTTTCTTTCTCTTGCTTCTGGGCTTTGTTCTCCAGCTTCTGAGCAGCTGGCTTCTTTAGGATTTCCTGCTTGCACAGAATAGTTCTGGGCAACAATCGTTCGGAAAAGAAAAGGAAGCCCTCGACCCGACGATGCACCCAAAATCCATCTGCTAAGGCACCCTAAACTAGGCCCTAAACGAGTTT